CTGTTGTTCAGCATCTTAGCTGTAGAGGGCAGTGTCACTGGCCCTCATATGTGGGATCCGAACTGGGGCCCTCTGGCATCCCAAGCCAGCTCTTAACAAACGCGCCACTCGGCCGGTCCCTCCATTTGATTATTTTTATAGATTTACAGTTCTGTTGAAATGCTCCATCTATATGCCCATTTTGTTGTATTTTTTCTTAAACTTATTAATCATAGTTATTTTGAAGTTAGCGTCTTGCCAATAGATGCTTTGGACATGCTAGATATGCCAAGTGGCTCTTCTCACTGGCTCTTGACATTTCAGCCATCTGAATTTTTGAAAGTTTACATTTCTCTTCAGTAGTATTTTCTGCTTTTAATACCCAGAAGTGAAATTGTTTGACTGCATGATAATTCTACTTTTAATTTTTTTTTTTGAGGAACTGCCATACTGTTTTCCTTCACAGCTGCACCATTTTTTATATTCCCACCAACAGTGCACAATGGTCCCAATTTCTCCACATTCTCATCAGCACATGTTATTTTCTGTTTTTTTAGTAGTTGCCATGGTCTTGATTTGCATTTCTCTAATTGTTAGTGTTGTTGAGCATCTTTTCATGTGTTTATCGCCCATTTGTATGTCTTCTTTGGAGAAATGTCAGTTCAAGTTCTTTGCCCATTTTTAAATCAGGTTTTTTTGTGGTTGAGTTTTAGGAGTTCTTTATATATTCTGGTTATTAATTCCTTATCAGATACATGATTTGCAAATATTTCCTCCCAATCTGAAGACTGCCTTTTTACTCTGATAGGATCCTTTCATGCACAAAAGTTTTTAATTTTCATCAAGTCCAATTTGTCTGTTTTTTCTTTTGCTGCCTATGCCTTTGATGTCATATCTAAGGAATCATCACCAAATCTAATGTTGTGAAGGTTTTGTTTTATGTTTTGTTCTAAGAGTTTATTGTTTTAGGTCTTACATTTAGGTCTTTGATCCATTTGGAGTGAATTTTTATATATGGTTTTAGGTAGGGGCCAACTTCATTCTTTTATGTGGGTATCCAGTTTTCCCAACACCACATGTTGAAAAGACTGTCCTTTCTCCATTGAATGGTCTTGGCACCCTTGTCAAAATACTTTTGAGTATACATGCTAGGACTTATTTCTGAAAAGCCATTGAGGTTTTTTTGTTTTTTTTTGTTTTTGTTTTTGTTTTAATTGGGGAATTGGGGGGATGGGAACAGCGCTGGGGAACTGGGGGAAGGGGAACAGACAAGTTGCTGTCGTTTTGTTCTTCAGTCTAGTTGTAGAGGACATTGCTTCACTGGCCCAAGTTGGCACCATCATTGCGCTCTTCCCAGGCGAGGCAGATCAGTCNATATCAGAGGGATTATTCATTATGAATTTGTACCAACTGGACAAACAGTTAACCAAGTTTACTATTTGGAAGTGTTGAAAAGGCTGCATGAAAAAGTTAGATGACCTGAACTTTTCACCAACAATTCATGGCTCTTGCATCATGACAATGCACCAGCTCACACGGCACTGTCTGTGAGGGAGTTTTTAGCCAGTAAAGAAATAACTGTATTGGAATACCCTCCCTACTCACCTGATCTGGCCCCCAATGACTTCTTTGTTTACCTGAAGATAAAGGAAATATTGAAAGGAAGACATTTTGATGACAGTCAGGACATCAAGGGTAATATGACAACAGCTCTGATGGCCATTCCAGAAAAAAAGTTCCAAAATTGCTTTGAAGGGTGGACTAGGCACTGTCGTTGGTGCATAGCTTCCCAAGGGGAGTACGTCTAAGGTGATCGTAGTGATTGATATTCAACAATGAGGTATGTAGCACTTTTTCTAGGATAAGTTCGTGAATTCAATTGTCTGACCTCATGTACCGATAACAAAAGATAAATACCAGTCATGTTTGACTTCTGCAATTACAAGAGGTGCTCATAGTGGTTACCATCAGCATCCAGACACTTCTGATTACTGCAAACTACTGCTTAAGCAACATTGACCAAAGTATCTACTGGGGGTGCCAAAAAAATGTATACACATGGCTTGTATTCATCTTTTATCGGTGTATAGTATTACAATTTTAATACAGTTTTTTCCTTTCTTAAAATGTATATACATTTTTTGGCACACTGTTTGTGTGTGTGTGTGTGTGTGTGTGTGTGTGTGTGTGTGTGTGTGTAGTCATGGGATGTAAAGTACAGCAAAAGTGATATATTGTAATAGCTATGTACAGTGTCAGATGGGCAGTAGACATGTTGGGGTTATCACTTTGTGAAGTGTGTAAATGTCTAATCATTATGTTGTTTTGCACACCTGAAACTAGTAATAAAGCTATAAAATAATAACTATAATAGTTAACTATAATAGTTATGAAAACTATAACAATAATAAAAATTACATTAAAAAACATAAAAATAAATAAATAAAATTTAGAAAAGGAAATTCTGACACATGCTACAATATGGACATTCCTTCTCTTTTTTTATTAATCAAGCATTTTTAATCATTTAATTTTCCCCTCTATTCATTCTTATTTGTACCTTATTTGATTCTTTTAATAAAATAAATTATAATATAAATCTTTGATATATTATAGTCTACATTAAATTAGTACTTTTACCACTTCCCAGCTTAAGAATCTCACAAGTGGGCCAGCCGAGTTGCTCGTTGGTTAAGAGTTGGCTTGGGAGTGCAAGCTCTGAGCAGCAGGGCCGCCAGTTCGGATCCCACATGGGCCAGTGACGCTGCACCCTCTACAGCTAAAATGGTGAACAGCAGCTTGACCTGGAGCTGGGCTGCCCTGAGTAGGCGACAGCGTAAGCTGCAGTGAGGCTGCAGTGGGCTGCCCTGAGCTACCATGAGTGGCCTGCAGCCAGCGTGAGCCGCCGTGAGCCGCCATGAGCGGCCATCCAATGGCCGGTGACCGATCTGCCTCAGCCGGAAAGAGCACAATGATCACAATACCAACATGGGCCAGTGAAACGATGTCCTCCGCAACTAGATGAAGAACAAGAGGACAGTAACTTGTCTGTTCCCCTCCTCTAATTCCCCAATAAAATCTTTTTTTAAAAAAAGAACCTCACAAGTTAAATTGCATTATCCCCTCTCATTCTTCATATTATTGTTGTTATAGATCTTACTCATGTATGTGATAAATTCCACAAAGCATTATAATTGTTGTTGTTTTACACAATATTTATTTATATTTAACTACATTTTTAAAAAGTCTTGATGTTCTGGCTTTCTTCATTTTTTTGCTTCCATCTGGGGGCATTTTGCTTTAGTCAAAGAACTTCTGTAGTATTTTTTGTGATGTGTATCTGCTTCCAGTGAATTCTTTACTTTTTAAAGTTTTGCCTGAAAACATCATTCCACATTAATTTTTTTTAAAGATTTTATTGGGGAATTGGGGGAGGGGAACAGCGTTTGGGAATTGGGAAAGGGAACAGACAAGTTGCTGTCCTTTTGTTCTTCAGCCTAGTTGTGGAGTACGTGGCTTCACTGGCCCATGTTGATATTATCATTGCGCTCTTTCCCAGGTGAGGTAGATCGGTCGCCAGCCACTAGACGGCCATTCATGGTGGCTCTTGGCAGCTCACATTGGCTGCCGGCCACTCACACTGGCTGCCAGCCACTCACGGTAGCTTATGGCAGCCCACTGCAGCCTACACAGCAGCCCAGCTCCAGGTCGGGCTGTTGGTCACCATCTTAGCTGTAGAGGGCGCAGCATCACTGGCCCTAATGTGGAATCCAAACCTGGGCCCTGCTGCTCAGAGCTGGCGTCCCAAGCCAGCTCTTAACCAATGCGCCACTCAGCCAGCCCATTTCAAATTAATTTTTGAAGGATCTTTGCTGTGGGTATAGAATTCTAAATTAGCAGTCCTTCCTTCCTTCCTTTTTTTCTTCCCTCTTTCCTTCCCTCCCTCCCTCCCTTTTTTAAACTGTAAAGATCCTATTGTCTTTTTTCTTCTATATTTTTTGTTTGTTTGTTGTTTTTTCTAGCTGAGCCATCCTGCCACCTGTTGGCAGCTCAACGGCAGCTCAGCTCGGGCTGGGATTTGAACCACTGTTGTCCAGAGCTCAAACTCTTGAGCGAGCTCTTAACCAACTGAGCCACTCGACCGGCCCCCTCTTCTATATTTTATATTGAAAAGACAACAATCATTCTTATTGCTCCTTTAAAATAATATTTCATTTTTTTCCTCCAACTGCTTTTAAGAGTTTTGTTCTCTCTTTGATTTTTAGGACTGACTATGATGCACCTAGATAAGATTTGTTTTATATTTCTTCTTCTTGGGGCTCACTGAGCTTCTTGAATCTGTGGGCTAATGGCTTGCACCAGATTTAGGAAAATTCTAGGCCATTATTTCTTCCACGACTGCTTCCTAACCTGTTCTCTCTTTTCTCTTCCTCTTTTTGGACTCGAATTACATGTATATTAGACCTTTTGACTATTTCCCACAAGTCTTTTATACTCTGTCTGTCTTTCCCATGTTTTTTTCTCTCTAGATATTTTCATAACCAAACTTTGAGTTCATTAATCCTGCTTTCTGCTTTACCCATTCTTCTGTGAAACCTATTCAATGCATTTTTTGAGGTATTATTATTATTATTATTATTAGTAGTAGTAGTAGTAGTGGTAGTTTCAGGTGTATCAATGAATTCTTAATTTCAGATATTGTGTTTTTAAATCCTAGAATGTCCATTTGATTATTTTTTTTTTATTGGGGAATTAGGGGATGGGAACAGCGCTGGGGAATTGGGGTAAGGGGAACAGACAAGTTGCTGTCCTTTTGTTCTTCATTCTAGTTGTGGAGGACATTGCTTCACTGGCCCAAGTTGGCATCATCATTGCGCTCTTCCCAGGTGAGGCAGATCAGTCACTGGCTTCTGGACGACCGCTCACAGCGGCTGCTGGCTACTCACAGTAGTCCATGGCAACCCAGTGCAGCAGGAGCTGCAGCCTACGTCACCGGCGACTCACAGCAGCCCAGCTCCAGGTTGAGCTGTTGTTCAGCATCTTAGCTGTAGAGGGCAGTGTCACTGGCCCTCATATGTGGGAT